AACCTCACAATAGCCTTTCAGAAAGGATAGACGAATTAGTAAGAAAGTGGGGGCGATAAAAACACTGTTTAAAGAAACCCTCACACTTTATTCTGTTATGTCATCTTTTAAAAAGAAATATGACCTATTATCTAGATCCGGTTGCTACAAGATTGTTTGCTCTTGTCATCAACCTTATGTTTGTGGGACATGCCGGCCTATTCGACAAAGATTGGAGGAACACAAAAAATGCTTGTAAAGTAAGCTGGGTCCAACGATCAGAAGTGGCCGAACACATGGTGGAAACTGGACGTGAGATAGAATGGTCTCAAATAAGTAGGTTTGCTGATTATGGTACGTTTGTTGTTAAAAGAAAGATAAGATAGACTATTGAAATTAATGGATTATGGAATAATTTGAATGTGAAGAATAGTGGTAGAAAGTTGAGTAGGAACTATTTATGCTTGATTGATAAAATGAAGGAGAGTGTTGAGCCGCCAATCAAAAGAAGGAGACTCAACTGGTTTGCTCAGTGATGGTGCTAGCTCCACTCACACTAGTCCAACATGTTAGATTAAGCTCATCAACCAAACCAGACATACCAGTTTATACAAACCTAGTTATTCCTTTCCTTGGGTGGATAAACATTAATGACCCTAGACAGGAAGGTTAGGACAAATGGTTTCGTAACTTGACTTACATGCTTACAAGCTCATATCTTTTGGGTAATTTAGCCTTGACGATCAAAGCCTGACATTAGCCTTTCGATACCTCTAAATTAGGACCGGTATTGCGTATGGACGCTAACACACGCTAACACACTCGAGCAAAAGTAACAGGAACAGTATGAAAGATAATTAGCTAAACCACTCTATATTTATCTAGGTTTTTTATTTTATTTTGCTTAATTGAGTTTATATAAGAGGTAAAATAGAGCCGGATAGTCTTCTTGCCCTAGTGTTAACGTGAGACTTCTAGAGGACTGAGACTCAGCCCAGATGATGTCAATCATATTATGGAGGCAAGCTCAGCCCGTTTTCACCCAAAACGAGGGAGCAGGTCTCATGGACTACGTCAAACTGAACGTCGTAGAAAGGCCAAACGGCTGCAGTACAACGGGATTCAGGCGTCCTCTTCTGGTGAGATCTCTCTAGGAATCTCTTCTTCATGCACTTTCATACGAAATGAAAGTCCCCTTAACAATTCGGGATTATTAACTGGCAAGATTCTTAAATTTTCGTTTGCGTTTTTTTCAGATGTAAATACGCCCAGTGGCACTGCCAAAGCTACTGGAATCATCAGCCACGTCCCGATTCCATTTCCCCTCGATGACAACAAGATGTGCGACTTCATCTCGCCGCTCTGCCCACTTCAGGAGAAACATGTTTACAACTACTCCGCTTCTTTCCCTATCAAAACAATTTATCCCTCCGTAAGTATCCATGCTTTTAGAATTATTACTTACAAATAGCAATAGATTCCTGATGCTAAGCCATTTACTTTCCTTTTAAAATTTCAGCTGCATTAAACCTAAATAATGTATTGAACAGCAAAATGTTTCATTTTTTGATCAAATTTACATGTCTCTACATTCACCACCACAGAAACAATAATCAGCCTCAACTATGCATTTGATGCAATAAGTACCCAAAAGTATTTAAGCACTTCTTTCATTATTGAATTAGGCAAACTAGAATTTGAATATTTTTGGATCTTAGGCTATTATGAAAAAAATTAGGATATCGGTCGTTATGTCAACACTCAGATGACCTAGAGTGGGTAGAAGAAAGTAAATATTTGTATTCGAACAAATAAGTAATTTTATTCAAACAAATAAGTATTTTCATTTGAGGATATGAAGACCAAGATGATGTGGCCCCCGGTATGGCCGCAGTTTCCTTTCGGTTGGTTGACCTCGTTTTCGCAAATTGGTCCTGATGTCAGGGGGACTTTGTAAAGCGCATCTTGCTTGAAGTCCTCTGTTATCGTAGATGTCATAATTCCCAGCATCAGACCGTGGACGTGGTACATTCTCAGACATTTCGCCGGCATCGTAGTCGGCAACATCAGTGAATCTTGTCATTTTCCGCACCAAGCTACGAACACTTCAGACAAGTAAAGTCAATCTTTTGACCAAATTCTGCCGAAAACGGTTACATTAACATCCTTTTATCCAACTGCCACCCTATCACAACTTCCGATTTGTTTACATCTTACTTCAAAATGTGCCCTTTTTGGTAAATTTTATATGGCCTCATCACGCCTATTATTTGCCCTCGGGCCTCCTATCCGGATCTCACTCATTGTCCTTTAGATCCATTCCTTAGCTTTCTGGATTACCGAATTCACTCGGTTCCGGTCCCAGTGTGCGTTTTGCCCCAATTGGGTCCAGCCACTTTGGGAGATGTCGCCTTTTTCTTCTTGTTAATGCCTTTCAACTTTGTAATAATGTGACTCACTCAAAAATACGAGGTAATATCCTATTACTAGACTCTCCTAAATATATTTTCCTCTATTAATTCATATATGTCAAGGGAACATTTTGCTTTTACTAGTGTTTTAGTAAATCAAGGCTTTAAAAAAATAACAAGGTGTACATTTATAATTTGTATGTACGAGGCCTTCACTATTTGGCCTTTAAGCTCATTATTTATCAAATGATTTTAACTTTACGCTAATGCCACTGGTCTCATTGCTTTTAAATTTTCGGCAGAATTTTAGTTACTCTGT